AATTATATTTGATTCTATTACGAATGAAATAATTGTGGATTAGATTTAATAAAATCTCTAAATATATTTTCAAGAGTAGTTAATCTTTCTTCTATATTATTTTTAGTATTTTCTATCTTATTTGGATATAATATTATTTTTCCATCTCTTCTTCCTATTTTATAACCATTAATTTTATATCTCAAATTCAATGATTTAGTTTTAATTTCATCGATTTCTTTCTTGTTTTTATCATAATATTTAAGAAATTCTGATTCATTATCAAATGATTTTGCATCATCTGATTGTAATTTATAAACACTCATTTTTTATGATAAAAATATAAATTATCTAATCTTAAAACCATTTAAAACTCTTCTTATCTTTATCACTACGTTGAGTATTCATTAATTGTTCAACAAATTTATTAGAATAAGAAGTTGTATCTGGTACATTAACTTTTTTATTAGTTTTGTATTGATCTATTAAGTCGCTACTATAATCTAACATCTTATTTCCTATACCAGACGTGTCATATGCTTCTATTAAATTTTTAGCATATGGTTTTATAGGTTTTATAACATTATCATTAAACCATACAGCTGCTTTTCCTATTTTAGGAATGAAATCCTTAACTTTCTTTAATTTTTGCCAGAATAAAGGGCTTTTTACCATTTAAGATATAATAAAAAATATATTTATAACTAAAATTTTACTTGATCCATATATTTTTGATATCATTATGACCAAAGTTGCGTAATGATTTAAGAGGATCTGATCCTTTACTAACATCAATCATTCTTTCACCAAATTTAGAATATGTTTGAAATTTTTTATCAGCAATATTACCAATCATAGGCCCAACAACAGGTACAGAATTTATTATAGGCTTAGCAACATTAACAACTTTATTCATTATGTTTCCATATGTCTTTAATACATGTCCACCTTTATTTAACATATTATTTGCAAAATTTTTTAGTGTTTTATAAAATCCAGGATGTCGCATTTCATATTTATAAAATTCATATTTTTACTCTTAATAAATGTCTAACATAAGAATTCCTTCAGTTTTAGAAGATGCTAATAGAGGTGATATCCTAAAATATTTTGATGAACAACAAAAAATAATTACTGCAAATGATGGTGTACATGATGCAAGAATGATAACTGTAAATGCTTATCAACAACAAGTTCCATTTAAATCTTCAGCTCATTCTAAGATTCAAATTACAGATCCATCTTTTCATGTAACTAACATTGATAAATCATATTTATCTGCAACAATAAAGTTATTACTT